TTGTGTTGAAATATATTCTCTAAATATTTCTGTTTGGCTTGAAAGCAGAGCAGTTCCTGCTTATAGTCCTTCTCTCTATTCTTATTTTCACTTTACCCTAAATAACTGAAGGAAGCTGACTGGCCCTTTCAACTTGCTGTCAGAAAAATTAGGTCCTCAGACCTGTGTTCTGTTCTGTACTGCCATAGGCAGTGGTCTCATGAAAACACACGGCTCCACTTTCTCCATCTCTGAGGCCTTCTCACGACCCTTCTGGCCTTCTCCTGCTACCTGGCTCCAACATCAGTGCCACATTTCAGCATTTTATTTTGGCAGTATTTCATTTCCAATTCAGTTATTTATTGCTGCATAGTAAGCCACCCCCAAACATAGTGACTTATAACTACTCATTTTCTCATTATTCTAAAATGGGTTGGGCTCAGCTGGTTGATTCTGCTGTTTCAAATTGTCACCATCAACTCCTTTCCTCCCTGTAAGTGTGTGCTGTACCCCACACTTATCTTATGATTGCTTTGATGAAATAAATATAGAAGAAATTTCAGGGACTCTGAGCCTAGCCTTAGGATTATCAGCTTCTATTTCTTTCTTCTGGGGACCAGCCACAAGATAGTCAGTCCCACTTTCTAGACACCATTGTGCTGTGTGGAATCCCAAGTAGCCATGAGGAAAGTGCATATGGAAGAGAGAGAGATCAGATCAGCCCCAGCCAACTGGCATGTGTGTACGTGTAATGGGCATCTTGAATACCCCATCCCCAGCAGATGCCATTTATTAAAAGAACTCCCAGCTGAGTCCAGCCCAGCTTTCAGGATGATTAATCGGGTGTTTCATCCTATAACTATAGATGGCTGAAACAACTGGGACCACTCATACAGCTGCAGTCATCTGGGGACACAACTGAGGCTAAAAATCCAAGATAGCTCCACTTACATGTCTGAGCTTTCTGTCTCTCATACTCTCTCTTCAGGGTAACCAAATATTTCCAAATGGCAGTTCAGGGTTCTTCAGAGCCAGTCCTGGAACCAGTGTGGCATAGCTCTTGTTTCTATCTTACCAGTAAAAGTAAGTCACCCAGGTTACCAGGTCAGCTCAGATTCAACAGCAGGAGATGGAGCCCACTTCTGATGGGAGGAGCAGCATGGATATAAAGGGATGAAAGGAGTTATTGGTGGACATCTTTGAAGACCAGCCACCAAGCTGTAGGAGGTTGCTGCTGAAGTCCAGTGGACATTCTTTTTTTTTTTTTTTAAGAGAGAGAGAAGAGAGAGAGAATTTTTTTTTATATTTATTTTTTTTTAGTTTTTGGCAGACACAACATCTTTCTTTGTATGTGGTGCTGAGGCCATACACATGCCAGGCGAGTGTGCTACCGCTTGAGCCACATCCCTAGCCCCATAGTGGACATTCTTGAGGAAAGGAATCATGAGATTCAGAGGTTATGTTAATTGTGTTTTTAATTTTCTGAGTTTTATGATGCTTTACATCCTGGAGCTATACTAGTTCTAGAAAGGCTGCCCCTTTCAGGGACAGCTGATTGCTGGAGATGGCTTGTCCAGGATCAAGTCTTTCCTACACAGACTAACCCACCCAGACCCCACAGCCCACCCACCTCCTTTATCTGACTTACACACCAAGCCTCCATTTCCCTGCCCTAAGCCATGCCAGAGCCAGGAACCAGATGACCAGAGACCATCAGGCCAGCGCCTGCTGAAACTGTTCAACTGTTCAGTCCTGAGCTCTCTCAAGCTGGCCTCTTACCTTGTCCATTCCTTCCTTCTTCTTTCTTCTTTCTTCTTCTTCTTCTTCTTCTTCTTCTTCTTCTTCTTCTTCTTCTTCTTTTTTGGTACTGGGGATTGAACTCGGGGGCATTCCACCATGAGCCACATCCCCAGTCCTATTTGTATTTTATTTAGAGACAGGATCTCACTGAGTTGCTTAGCGCTTCTCTGTTGCTGAGGCTGGCTTTGAACTTGCGATCCTCCTTCCTCAGCCTCCCAAGCTGCTGGGATTGCAGGCATGTGCCATTGTGCCTGGCTTGCCCATTCCTTCTTGTGGAAAACAAAATGAAGGTCCTGTGCCATGCTGTGACCCCACAGGGCCTGCTGTCTTTTCCTCCTGGGAACTGTGAGTACTGAACTCTGTCACCTCAATCATGTCATTGGCAAAGGGGACAATGTCAGGCAGCACCCAAATGTCAAACCAACAGAAGTCAAAAGGAATGTGATTCAGAAGGGAGAGGACAGTGTTGTATTGAATGTTGCTGGGTAGAACCATGTGGACAGGACCTTTGCTTGACTCAAGCAAATTCCAGGCAGAGGCCAGAAGGTTGGAAGGATCACCTAGTGTAGTTCCAAAGTCACTCAGAATGTCCACAGGAGTGGAATTGCAGAGAATGACAGTCAGGAGCTGAGATTACAATGAAATGAGGGGACAGAACAGTTTGTTTGTAGTGACTGAGAAGGTGGTAAGTCAAAATTCTGAAAATATGACACTTAAAGCCGGGAACTTTTAGGGTGAAGAATGGTCTAGAAGGGTCATAAGGAGCTGGAGGGCACCTCCCTGCCTCAAGTCCAGAAATATCTGAATTGTGTGAAAGAAACATCTACACTCGCCAGGCTCCCAGAGAAGTCAGATTCCTGTTAGTGCAATAAGCAGAGTGGATCATACAGAGACAAGACTGAGGACAGCATCTGTGCTGATGTGGATCCCAGGGGAGCAGGATCCCAGGGAGATGGGGTCAGGACAGAGGATATGCAGAGCCCTGTGGGAGCCCTGGGATAAAAAACTACCTAGGTCCTCCACATGATTCTACCCAACAACATTCAGCACAACTGTCCTCTCCCTCCTGAAACACATTCCTTTTGGCTTGTGTTGGTTTGGCATTTGGGTGCTGCCTGTCATCATCCCCCTTCCTATTGGCACCCTAGACTCCTTGTTCAGGAATTCCCCCATTTGCACCATCCTGGCAGGAAGATGTGGAGTGACCCATCCTCCTGGTACATGGGATACTAAGGAGTCTTGTGGGGAAATATCACCCAGGCCTAGGACTACCCCAGGGGTCCTGAGTCCCTCCTCCTTTTGCTGGATACAGCAAGACTAGCATCTGGGTTGTGTCCTGAACTCTTGACCCAAACACCTTAGACATCAATTGCCATCTGTACACCAGTTACCAAATATTTAGCCCTTTGACTCCCTAGACTTATGCCTGGAAGTTGGGTGCCCAGATCACCTGAGACTCAGAATGTCATGACTCCTGTTCCTAAGAGATGTACGGATCTTCTCCATTGGAAAAATGCCTCCTTTTTGCCAGCTGTCTGGCAACTGTGACTCCCCTCCTCTCCATGTTATATACTCCCTGGCTTCTCTGGGTTTTGTAGCCCTTTCCCCTAGACTGTGCATGTGAGTTTGATTTGCCCCTGGTACAGGTGCTCCTTCATTTATGACAGGGTAACTCCTGATAAAGCCATCATAAAACAAAAAGTGGAAATATCCTAAGTTGAGAAGGGCATTTAATACTCTTGAACTACTGACCATCACAGCTGACCTTGACAGTGCTGAGAACACTCACAAGCCTACAGGTGGGATAGTTGTGCAACATAACAATCTTTTGTAATAAAGTGTTGAATATCATGTAATTTATTCAGTATTGTTCTGAAAGTGAAGAGCAAGGGTTGCATAGGTTGGCTTTTGCATCATGGTAAAAGCAAACATTGGAATGTTGGGGATATATGCATTTGAATGTCTTCCCACCTACCAGTTCACTCTCTGCAAAGGGCCTTTTTTTTTTTTTTTTTTTTTTAAATACTAGGGATTGAACTCAGGTACTCTCCCACTGAGCCTTATCCCCAGCCCTATTTTGTATTTTATTTAGAGACAGGGTCTCATTGAGTTGCTTAGCGCCATGCTTTTGCTGGAGCTAGCTTTGAACTCCCTGCCTCAGCCTCCCCAACCACTGGGATCACAGGCGTGCGCCACCGCGCCCTGCCCCAGTCCTTTTTATTTTATTATTTTTTTTAAATTTGAGTTGGGGTCTCTCTAAATCTCTCTAAGTTGCTGATGCTGGATTCGGACTTGTCATTCTCCTGCCTCAGTCTCCTGACTTGCTGGGATTACAGGTGTGCGCTACCGAGATCTGCAAGGAGGGGGACCTTTTAAAAAAGATGAATCCTAATATATTCCTCCTGATTTTGCAGTCATCTGTATCTCTGCCGGGCGGCCCCAGCCTTGATTCTGGTCGCCTGGTCCCCTCTCCAGGGGCACTCGCTGCCCCTGGACCTCACCGCTTAGCATCTGCCTTCAGGACCTCCGCGCACTCGTGGCTTGCTCAGCACAAGCGTCCCCAGGAAGCTTAACGAGCTTACCTCTCGGCGCGGGGGACTGGCCCGCAGGTTAGGGGCGTGCGGTCTGTGGGCGGGTCGATAGGCGGTTCCTGGAGGCGTGGAGGGAACCGTACCTGCACTCTGCTGTGAGTCCTCGAGGGCAGATCCTAGAGGTGGTAGCGGGTCGGGGGCGGATCTTCCGGGTGGGCTTTTGGAGGATCCGTGGGCCTGGGGAGGATCGCTGGGCTCAGGGCGCGCCGAGAGCTGGTCCTCTTAGCTAATCGGGGCGGGTCCTCGGGCTCAGGGCTGGTCTTGGGGCGGGCTGGGGGCGGTCCTCGGACTCGAGGCGGGTCCTCAGGGCGGATCTCGGAGCTGCGGCCCCGGCGGGCGTCAGTGCGCGGCGCAGGAGGCCGCGGCATGGGGCGGGTGCAGCTCTTCGAGATCCGACTGAGCCACGGCCGCGTAGTCTACAGCCCAGGGGAGCCTCTGACCGGGACCGTGCGCGTGCGTCTGGGGGCGCAGCTACCCTTCCGAGGTGGGCGCGGGGTGCCTCGGGGGAGGGCGGTGGCCGCGCCCGCACCTGCCGCGGCCCGAGCTCCCGGAAGCGGGTGGTTCACGCTTTTGGGGGCCTGGGTCTGCAGTCCTCTGCGGACCCGGCGGGCTGCGGGAGGGCTGGGTCGCGGTTGCGGGTGCCGCAGGCCCGTTGTTGTTGGTGGGTGGCCGGCATCGGCTGGGGTGGAGCAGGCAGGCAGGCCCGTTGGCCCAGTCCTTCCGCATCTGCCCCTTCCTGTCCTCTCCGCTTAGGGGCAACCAGAGTCCGGGTGAGGGCCTAGCACCTGTCCACCTTGCCAAGGCTACCGCGACCGTGGACATACCCATGACTCCGACCTTCCTCATCTAGTTGCGCTCCGCACCTGCTGGGCTCTCATCTGAAACCTAGCCTTCTGGGTCCCCTCTCTTAGGCCACCAGGCATAGTGGGCAGGCTCTTCCTCTTAAGAGCTGCGGCCCCGCGGGCGTCAGTACGCGGCTCAAGTGCGGATCCCCAGCAGAGTCCACTGGGCACCTTCTTACAGTCTGCCCAAGGTTTGTCCTTAGGGGCAGTATGTATTGGCTCATCCTGGTATCCCTTCACCCTAGCCCAGCCAGCTTCTTGGAGCTGAGCCCGAGCCTCTGCTGATGCAGGCATCTGGGACTTTGGGGCCTGGGATCGGGTTCCACGGTGGCATTGATAGGACACTCTGCAGGTATGGGGCTCCTGTGCTCAGTAGTAGTCATATTGCTGCTTTCTGAGGACAGGGCTCTGAGAGGGACTTGATGGCTGAGCCCTCAGGGTGTGCTGGGCAGCATGGTGGCCATTGCCTGACCCTCAGCTCTGAGTAGAGGTTGGTGTGGGTGTCCCTGTGGGATGTTTCTCTAAGTTGGCCTCCTGTGAGAGCCACCCAGCTGCTTCGTCAAAACCACGGCTGCCACTTCCCTCTGCACCTGACCTCCCTGGCTTCTGCACTGCTGGCAGCTTGCACTTCTGGTGAGGACAGAGAGCTGTCATCCTACCCTCAGTGGTCTTGGGCTGGGTGATGGCTTTCTGATACTTGACCTTCTGAGTTGCCAGGTCTAAGAGGAAGCTGAGTTGTAGGTGCTTCCCTCGGGCTCTGGGCTTATTGGGTTTCCTGGTGATGACTTTGTTGCCTCCTCTCCTGTGTCCCCACTTGGAGTTTGTGATTTGGGTGGGGGCAGGTGTGACCATCAGAGGGGATAGAGCAGCTACAGGGCAGTTCTCCTTGGGCACAAAAGACAGGTGAGACTCAAGGCTATGTGCTCCTGGGCTAGGAGGAACCCACAGTCAGGAGAGAGTCTTGTGTAGAGCTCACCACCTGGATTGTCCATCTTCATTCCCTCCCTGGATGGGCTTAGGTTGAGCAGGTCATTGTTCACCACAGTGACAGAATGGGCCAAGCCCCTGGCTTCCTAAGTCCCTGGCCTCCTTGTGGTAGGTAGAGGGTGGATAAATGGAGAGCTGACGCGATAGAGGCCAAAGGAGCCCCAGCACTTGGTCCTGACTATAAAATGTGCCCAAAAGTGGAGATATGAGCTGGGGCAAGAGGTTGGATTATTCATATTGATGGGGGTGAATATGCCAGGGTGCCACTAGGTTTTCCTTGATCCCTGCCTGGAATGGAACAGGAAGGACCATCGTTCTTTAAAGTTTTTGCTAGGTCCAGTAGGTGCTACAGGGAGACCCTTCACTCCCCATGTGGGTGGCAGACCTGCCCCAAGGTTCCCGGATGTGCTCATTGAACACTTGTCCGATGAGTAGCAGTAACGGTCAGCACCCAGCCATGAGGACACAACTGCCTAAAAGCTGATGGGGAAGGGAATCCAGGAAGGAGCAATTTTCTGAAGCCTGAGGTGGGGCCAAGTAGGGTGGCCTTGTACTCTCTTTCCTCTCCTTGACCTCTCATTGTGGGTCAGAGGCATGTCTCCCCATTCTCCATTTGTCAGCTTCATGCACTCTGGAGGAGGCCATTCTGGTTATTATCATGATACAGTTAGGAAGCAGGACAGGTAAGACTTAGTGAGAGAGTGTGACAGAGGCTGGGCTGCCTCCATTTTGGGGAGCCATTGGGGTTGGGACAGGTTTTGAGAACTTTGGGACCACGACAGCAGTGAGTGGAGGTCTTCAAGGTCAGAGGGCTGGATGCAAGGGAGGGGGATGTTAGGCAGGTGGACACACTGGTGTGAGGAGAAAGGTCCTGAAGTTCCTGTGAGCAACCAGTTCCAACCAAGACTGACTCTCGTGCAACAGTTTGGAAGCATTTACACCTGAGTGCTTGGCTCGCAGGCCTCACTTTGGGGTGGATGCCTTGCAAGTACACCCCTGCCCCCATCCCATGACCTTATGATAGGCACTTGCTGGTGTGAGCACCTCACTTACTGCCAGGAGCAGGTAGCCCCACATCGAGGAGGAGGAATGGGGCTTCAGAGTCACCACCAAAAAGCAGTTCCAACATTAAAGTTTGAAAGTGGAGGAAACAGGGTGACTAAGTGACTGCCCCTGTACTGCCATCATGAGAGTCTGCACTCAAAAAGAAGTGTGTGCTGTGTCCAGTGCCTCTCTAGCAGCAAGGAGACCCTTTCCAATGTGCCCTGTGGTCTCCCCTCACTTCTCTTTGGGCAGAACTGCAACTGAGGGGCTGGGGATATAGCTCAGTTGGTAGAGTGCTTGCTTCTCATGCACAAGACCCTGAGTTCAATTCCCAGCACCACCAAAAAAAAAAAAAAAAAGAATTGCATCCTGAGATCCTGCCTGATCCAGAAATTTGAGAAGGCAAAAACCCAACCTCTCTCTGCCTCTGGTCTTGACCAGTGAAATCTGGCTCTCTGGGGAACTCCCAGCCTGACCTGAAACTCTGCTGACCAGCAGAGGAACAGCTCCAGGCTTTTGGTGAGGAAGTAGAAGTACTGTGTGCCAGCTGTGTCCCACCATCCTGCTGAGAGAGTGGGCAGGCCGGGTCCTCCACAGAACCTTTAACGTGTTGGGAAGATCACAGAGCCCGGGTTCCCTGGGTTGGATGCTGTTTGTTTTTCTGGGCTCATGTGGCTCCATGTCCCACACTCCAAGGGGGTTTAGGCTGGGTCCTTGATGTTTCATTGAGGCCTGGATTGCTGCCTCCAGTAGTGTGTGTTCAGCCTGCATGTGATCATGTTTTCCACCTCCTACCTAACACATGTCAAAGTGCTTAAAATTTGCCAATTTGACAGGTTAAAATTGAAAGTAATCACACTTTCCCTGATTTGTAGTGGGGAGGGGGCATCTGCTATGTAAAAGTCACGCCAAATGGCTGGGGTTGTAGCTTAGTGGTAGAGCACTTGGCTAGCAGGCACAAGACCTGAGTTCCCTCCCTAGCAGTGAAAAAAATAATAAATCACCCTAAGCTAAATAGCTCAAACAATCATTTTGATGTTTGAGTTGAGGGTTAGGAATTTGGGCAGTGGTGGGCAGTGCATGTCTTCGGTTCTGTCTTCAATTCTGTTGCCAACTGGAAGAACTGGAAGCACCTCCTTCCCCTTCTAGCATTCTTGGTTGGTTCGGGCATCTGCAGGATTCACCTGCAGGAACCAGGAGGAACATGCTCTGTTCAAGAGGGTGTGTCCAAGCACACAGCATCTCTAAACCCCCTGGATAACTTTTCTAGGCCTGCTTTCACCCTGGTGTTTCTCAGGTTGGCATAGATTCCAAATCAGGGCTGAGATTAGTGTGATAGGCTAGCCTGGCATGGAAGCTGAGGAGAAAAGGGTGGTACAGGGGTCAGGGACAGAGGCCTGGCATCAGTCAAAGGGAAGAGGGGTATATATGTGGAGAGCCACTTGGGGCTAAGGATGAGCCAGGGTTTGCAGGAGGGGTTCTGAGGGTGATCAACAGGAGGCCTGGGCCACAGGGTGTGGCTTGCCTAGGCAGACCCCAGGTGAGGCAGGTGTGGCTAACTCTGGCACTTAGACACTAAGTGTTCCTCCTACCTGGTGGTTTCATTAGAAAGGCATCAGGGTCTGAGCAATCTTCCCCTCACATGGCCCCATCAAGTCTGGGAGAAGCACAAGGAAAGGAGCAGAAACCTTGATCTGACCCTGAAGGGAGAAGGGTGGGGTAGAACTGCAGGGTGCTTGTCACTGACTCCTTGCCTGGGCCTCTGTTGTGCTGTGGTTCTGTTGGGTTGATTCTCCCTGTGCCCAGCCTTGGTTGGTCTGATTTTCCAGCCATGGCTGCCTATCCACAGGCTCTGGACATGTTGGATTGAGGAATCGGAGTTTGGCCTTCAGTGGGTCCTGATGGATGGGGCACTCCCGCTAAAGCCTCCTGGGCAGTGCTGCCCAGGAAGTCAGGGGCCCCACCCTTTGAGGTGGCAGACTGTGGACCTGCTCAGGCAGGTCTGACCACATTCCTGCAGCAGGAGGGTTGGCAGTTAGCTTCCTGGAGCATGAAGGGGTGCCTTCCTGCCTAACTGACTTGCAGCAGTGGGGTGTCCCAAGAATCCCTTATAGGGGCTGTTTTCACAGGTCTGGTGGGGGGCCAAGGTTACCATTTTGGGGGTTACTACAGGAATTAGGATGAGCCATCCCCTGAATGCCAGGACAGATGAAACTCAGTTCCTTTGCCAGCCTGGCTTCCTGGAAAGCACTCTAAGATCAGGGATGGCTAGGGTGTTCTTGGAAAGGCAGGGGCTTCCTGTCTGGCTAGGGTGCTGCCAGGCTGGCTGGGACTCATGCTTTCCTCCCCTTGCAGCAATCCGTGTGACCTGCCTGGGTTCCTGTGGGGTCTCCAGCAAGGCTAATGATGCAGGATGGGTGGTGGAAGAAAGCTACTTCAACAGCTCCCTGTCATTGGCTGACAAGGGTGAGTCTGTGAGCCAGTCCCTTATAGCATCCAAGTTGTGACCCCGAGGGCAGCCCTTGTCTGGAGTTGGCCTGTCTGGCCTCTCCACATCTGTCTCTTGGAACCCTGTGCTACTTCCCTATGGCTGTGTGTCCTGGTGGGCTTCTTTCCCCTGCAGGCACTGTGGCATTGCTTCAGAGTGTCTGGGTGGCTGAAGGGGGCACCCTTCTTTGGTGCTGGATCTGGGTGGGCTCTGACCTTCTTGTAGCCATTTTATTCCCCTGTGTGCCCCGCCTCCCCATTCAAGCCAAGTTCTCACCTGCAGCCTTTTGCTCAGGCCAGGGCTATGCTGCTGTGCTGAGATGGATGGGGAGACCAGTGTGGGCTGGGCAGCTGCAGGGCCACTGCTGTCCTGGCACTGTGGCTGCCCCATGGGCCTCCCGAGGCTGGCCCCCACCTCCCTCCTGTCTCTGCAGGGAGCCTGCCCGCTGGAGAGCACAGCTTCCCCTTCCAGTTCCTGCTTCCTGGTGAGAGCCCAGCTTGAATGGCTGCTAGGGACAATGGCCTGGGAGGGTAGGCCCCATAGGTGGAGTTGCCAGACGCCAGTTCCTCCTCTCTCCCTAGCCACAGCACCCACGTCCTTTGAGGGTCCTTTTGGCAGGATTGTGCACCAGGTGAGGGCTACCATCGACACTGCACGTTTCTCCAAGGATCACAAGTGCAGCCTTGTATTCTATATCTTGAGCCCTCTGAACCTGAACAGCATCCCAGACATTGAGGTGAGGATGGAACAGTGACCTCCTTGGCGGTCCCCATCTGTCCATGGTGCGGGGCAGAACTGAGGGTTTGGGTGTAGCAGCCTTTGTATTGAGCTGATCACTGGTACCTGGGGCAGGATTGAGAGGGCTTGTCCCAGTGCTGCAGGAATTCTGTTCACATTCACCTGCGCCCCACTTCCCTTTCTGTCTAGCAACCTAACGTGGCCTCTGCCACCAAGAAGTTCTCCTACAAGTTGGTGAAGACAGGCAGTGTGGTCCTCACGGCCAGCACTGATCTCCGAGGCTATGTGGTGGGGCAGGTGCTACGGCTGCAGGCTGAGATAGAGAACCAGTCGGGCAAGGACACCAGCCCTGTGGTGGCCAGTCTGCTGCAGGTCAGTGAGCTGTGGCTACTCAGGCCTATCCCCATGGTACAGGTGGAGGGACGGGTTGGTTGCCAGCCTTCCCAGGCTCATAAGCTGTTTTTTTCCCCAGAAAGTGTCTTATAAGGCCAAGCGCTGGATCTACGACGTGCGGACCATTGCGGAGGTGGAGGGTGCTGGTGTCAAGGCCTGGAGGCGTGCGCAGTGGCAAGAGCAGATCTTGGTGCCTGCCCTGCCACAGTCGGCCTTGCCGGGCTGCAGCCTTATCCACATTGACTATTACCTGCAGGTTTGGTGCTGCTGAGGGTGGGGTGGCCTGAGGCTGGGTGGCCTTGACCCTGGCCCCTCACCACCCCCATCCTCCCCAGGTCTCCATGAAGGTGCCTGAAGCCACTGTGACCCTCCCCATCTTTGTTGGCAATATTGCTGTGAACCATGCTCCCCTGAGCCCTGGGCCAGGCTTGGAGCCACCTGCTGGACCCTCACCCCCAGTGGTGCCTTCCGCACCACCCCAGGAGGAAGCTGAGGTTGTGGCTGGTGGCCCCCACTTCTCGGACCTGGTCTCCCTCTCCACCAAGAGCCACTCACAGCAGCAGCCACCACCTGCTGTCTTGTGTTCTGTGCCTGTCGCCCCTGAGCCCTGTGCTCATGATGGCAGTCCTGCTCCCCACTCTCTGCACCCTCCCTTGTGCATCTCTACAGGTGCCACTGTCCCCTACTTTGCGGAGGGCTTTGGGGGCCCAGTGCCCACCACCAGCGCCTTGATCCTTCCCCCGGAGTACAGTTCTTGGGGCTACCCCTATGGTGAGTGGGAAGGCCAGGCATGGAGGTTGGGGAGGAGATGCCACAGCCCCTTGCAGACACAACTCTCTCCCCACAGAGGCCCCACCTTCTTATGAGCAGAGCTGCAGTGGTGCAGACCTTGGCCTGACTCCCAGGAGCTGACCCTTGAGAGCTGACCTCATGCTGCCTTTCCTGGTGGGCCTGGCCTCTGCCCTGGGATGGGATGCCCAGGGCCTCGTGCCTTAGCTCTCTGCCTGGCCTGGCCGCTCAGGACTCATGCCTGTCCAGGCCACCTCTTGGCTGGAACAACCTCTCTCGGCTTCCCTATTGTCAGCCCTCTTCTCCCTGAGGTCGAGATGGGGGAGACAGGGACCAGAGACTGGAGAAACTCTGTAAATAAAGTGTTATATTTGTAGAGCCTGCCTCTACAGGACAGAGGCTGGCCTGCCTCCAGCCACGGATGCCCTGCAGTCTCCGGCCTGTGTTGGTTGGACCTGGTGCTCCCACCTTTTCTTTGGTTCTGCCCCATCTTTGCCCCCTCCCAGGTGCATCCTTCCCCTGCGAGGCCCCTGCCCACAGTGGAACCCCCTCCCTTGGGCCTTTGGAGGCTATTAACACCAATGCTCAGCTGGCTCTGCAGGTCATGCCTGTCTGCTCTCACCCAGGACCATGTTTTAAAGGCTATGTTCTAGGCTTCCAGAGCTAGATAGGTGGGGTACTGTGGGCAGTGTTTCCCAGAGAGGCACCCTGCTGCTGTAGTCCCAAGGGAGGGCCTGGAGGTACTGCCTTTGTTGCTCCATGGGAATGACTCAATGGGGGTAGTCAGGGTAGATTTGGGCCGCATGACTTCTCTGATAGAGTGGAGAGATACTAGGTGTGTCAGCCACCTTGGCTGAGTAACAAGTTCGTGACTCTTAGGGAACAGGTCACATACTCACTAACCTGATTGCACCAGAGGACAGGCCTGGTAAGTGGCTGTCATCCCTAGGCTGAAGCTTCAGATGGACAGATGGACTATGGGCTGTCACTTGCACACGCTGTAGGTCAGCCCTTGCAGTTGGCAGTGTGGGCTCTGGCCAAGTAGCCTTGTATTCAGCTAACACTAACTCCCTGGGACAAGGGGAAGGATGACAACTGGAAGAAGGCGGACAGGAGGCTACAGGTGGGTTAGTCTGTAAGCACATGCTAGAAGTAGTGCATCTACTTCCAACCCAGAAGAGATGCCTGGGTTGGAGTCCCATCTTGGCCTCTAGCCAGTGCCACCCCGCAGGTGCTTGGCTTCCTGGCTTCCATCACTTGTGAGGGTGCCAACAGTGCCTGCCTCTCAAGTCTGTCTAGGCTTGATAAGCACACATCACCTGATGAGAACTGCAGATATGTGGTCAGTGGCCATCAAAGGAAGGCAGGTCTACAAAATTGGAGTGGGAAGCCTGCCTATAGCCTACTTGTCACATGCATTTGTGGTTACATTTGCATGGTAAGGGGTTTCCCCCACATTTTAACTGCATATGTTCATCTAACAACTATTTGTCTCTTGTATTATTCTGAGCACACAAAACAGTGCTATCCTAGGATAAGACAGATAACATGCCCAGTAAGAGTACAGGGTTGTCATGTGACATGCAGGATACAGAGCCAGATAAAGCAAAGGGCTGGTTGATCTCATTGTTAACTAGAGGTACACAGCAAAGTGAACCCTGCGTATACTAGAGATAAAAGTTCCCTGGAGGGGTCAGAGGAGGTCCTAAGGCAGGAGTGGAGATGGAGTGGGATACAGGGAGGGTGGGTTGGGGGCTCAGGGGCTTTGACAGAAAGGTTGAATCGCCCTAAAGAAAACTGGAATGGCACTTAGGGCTGTCCATTTCTCTTTATCTGTGTACACTGACAATGCAGATGTAGCAGAGTCATTTTTCTATTTTTTCCTCATGAGACTGAGTCTATGACTGTCAAGACTCAGAGTGTCCTTATTTCTTGGCAGTGAGAACATCAGTTTTGCTGTATGCTTTTCTCAAGTCTCAGGGACAGAAGAGACAGATTTGGCCACAGGAAGCAGGTAGCCTAAAAGGCTTTATGAGGCTCTAAGTACATTGTCCAGTGAAGGGTGCTTGGTGTGCAAGAAAGTATGTGCCTGGGGATAGCCAGGGGCAGCATCTCATCTGAGAAACCCCAGTCCATCAACCCTTCCAGTGTGACATCACTCCAGAGCACCCATTCTTAACCAGAGCTACCCCCTAACTGGGATACCTCCCAACCAGGGCACTCCTCCATATTGGAATACCCCCTTCCCATTCAGGACACCTCTGCCAGCTGGATCATTTCCCTAGAGGAGAAATCCCCTCTGTGCAGTTTCTCAATCCTTAGGACATCCTCCCAATCAGAATACATGTGGAGTTGGGACATTCCCCTAGCTGGAATCCCTCCTAGCAGCTGGGGCATTCCTCCCTACCAGGAACCTGGGACCTTGCCTAAGTAGGGTCCCTCCTCTAACCAGAGCACCTTCCTCCATGCCAGGCACACCCCATAAGCATATCACCCCTCTGCTGCAGACCTCCAATTGGGGCACCCCCCTACAAAGCAACTCAGGATGACTGCCTTTGTGAAAGCTCAGGAAATCAAAATGTATCTGGGTTTAGAGGTTAAGAGTTGAGCCTTGAGTTCTTCACCCTAGGCCTGCCCACCAGAACACCAATTTACAGTCCTTCTCATCTGCAGGGGTGTGTTCTACAACACTCTGTGGATGACTGAAATCACATGTGGTACTGAAACCTGTACATAAAATGATTTTCCTTACACATACAATAAAATTTAACCAATGAATTCGGTATGGGAAGAGACTGACATTAGTAACAAAATAATTAGTTGGGTGTAGTGGCCCATGCCTGTAATCTCAGTAGCTTGGGAGGCTGAGGCAGGAGGATCATGAGTTTAAAGCCAGCCTCAGCAATTGAGTGAGGCCTTAAGCAACTCAGCAAGACCCTCTTAAAAAAAAAATATATATATATATATACACACATGGCTGGGGATGTGGCTCAGTGGTTAAGCGCCCTGGATTCAATTCCTGGTACACCCCCCACCCCGCAAAATAGAAGAATTATATAATGTACTGTAATAAAAATTGCATGACTGTGATCTCTCAGCCATCTTATTGTTCTGTATTCACCCTTCTGTAAGTGCCTATGTGATGGGAGGAAGTAAGGTGAATGGTGTAGGTGATGTAGCACTAGGCTACTACTGACCTGATCATGCTCTAGGAGAGATCACCTGCTTTAGGTGATCCTAGACCTTTGAGCCATCATGGTATGGGTGGTTGGATGTCGCAGATAATGGTTTTCTTTTTGTGATGTTGGGGTGGTGGAAATGGAGCCCAGGGCCTCATGCAGGTAGGCAAGTGCTCTACCTCTGAGCTCCAGCTCTAGCTCTTATTTTGTTTGAGGTAGGGTCTGGCTAAGTTGCCCATTCTGTCCTTGAACTTGTGATCCTCCTGCTTCAGCCTCCCAAATTGGTGAGATGACAAGCCTGCATCATTTGTCTGGTGTAGTTCTCCCCCTGCTCCCCAACTTTTTGTAATAACATAGAAATTGGAAGTTATTTTGTCTTTTCAACAACAACAAAAATTTGCTGTAGAGACTAGTCATTTGGTGATCATATAGGTGAATTTATTACTGAGTTCCATCCAAGGACTGTATTCCGAAGGCTGAAGCAGGAGGATCCAAATTTAAGGCCAGTTGTGGCAATCAGTGAGAACCTCTCTCAAAAAAGGGCTGGGGATGTAGCTCAATGGTTGAACACTTATCTAGCATTTGGGGCCCTGGGCTCAAACCCCAGTTTAAAAAAAATATTTCTGGGGCTGGAGTTGTAGCTCAGGGGTAGAGTGCTTGCCTGGTACATGTGGGGCACTGAGTTCAATTCCCAGCACCACATCTAAATAATCAAATAAAATGAAGGTCCATCAACAACTAAAACAAACAAACAAACAAATAAATAAATACAATAGTCCTTCGATGTCTGTTCAATTTGAAACACTTCAGCAAATTTTGGCATTGTCCCCACTTCTCTTTCAGTGTCTTCTGCTGATGACTCAAGTTCTTCCTTAAGAACTTTTTCCTTAGTCAATGCCTTCAATTCTACTGGAAACAGGGCAGCAGCTTCTTCATTGCTAGAAGTTTTTGTTTTGCAATCCAAACCTATTCTTTAGTCTTTGTAATCATCCCTTGAAGTAAATGGCTTGGTGCCCTCTATTTCAAGGGCTCCCTTGGGGAAGTCTTGTTTTAGGCTCAATGCCTTCTGGACGCTGCCACTAATTGCAACACGTTTCTGTTCATTGTCTACCCACAAATTTAATACCTTGTGCACCTCAAAGTAGCGCTCACAGACACTGTAATCCTACTGCTCCAGTGCGAGGTGCGACAGGGAAGCTAGCAGATTTTTTTTTCTTTCATAATTGCACGGATGGGAGATCTTCCTTTCCTAGGAGGATCTTATCAACCTCAGCATCCGGTTTCTTTTATGAAGTCGAGAACTTTCTTTCTTTTTCACTTAAAGGAAGCATTGTGCAGCCTCTCTTTGGCATATCCGAATCGTGGCATCCCCTCTCCGGCGCTCAGGGGCCATTACCAAGAAAATTAAAGGTGCTGGGCCGCGCGCAAGCTCTCGATGCCCACAGCTGGCGGCCGCCTGAGCGCCCACGGGGGCACAGCGGGCAGCGACTGCAGCGTGGATGTGCTGCGCAAAGGGGAGACAGCTATCCAAACACAGCGCGATTGCAAAACTAGGGACCAGCCAGCCCGGTGGCCACGCCTGTCATCCCAGCGACCGGGAGGCTGAGGCAGGAGGATCTCAAGTTCAAAGCCAGCCTCAGCAAATTAGGGAGACCTTTTTATTTTGACTTTCTTTTTAACAACAAAAAGTTGCGGCAGAAACTAGTAATTTGGTGAAAACATGAGTGACTTTAATACCCAGTTCCATCCAAGGATCGCATTCCATAATCGTCCTTTAGTTGGGCACAATGGTGCCCACCCATAATCCCAGCTCTTTGGGATTAAATAAAAATAATAATAAAAAAATGGCTGGGGATATGGCTTGAGGGTTAAGCACCCCTGGGCTCAACCCTCAGTTAAAAACGAAACAAAAAAAGCCTAGGTTCTATTCAATACTGAATTTTCCAAGGCGGCTGACTGGAGTAACTGAAAGAGAAGGTAACAAAATCCGAGACTGGCGATGAAAGGATTCCCGGCAGCCACTATATACTCAGCAGTGCAGCTTCTCCGCTCCAGGATACTCCCAAGCGCCCAGCTAGCCCAGGACGCCGTAGCCGGGCGCTAGCGCGCAGGCGCCGACCGGCCCCGCTCCAACGCGCAGGCGCCTCCAAGGTCCCGCCTCGGCGCGCAGGCGCCC